TTTTTTTTTTTTTTTTTTTGTCCCTCTCTCTCGCCTGGAGAGAACCACGACACCGATCTTTTTATCGTCCGACTTGCGGGCCTTTTCTCGGTGGCGTCTCCGAGAACTGGTTGTGGGAGAGCTCAGGCTTGCTTGCCAGGCTAAAGACTGGACGGTACGATTCAGCCGGCATTGGATCAAGTAGTCTGTTCTATCCGCAGGCAGACTAAGTTATTGTTGAGAACCGATTAAAAAGACTGTCCTTGAGAAGAAGAACGGGTTAGACATGCATTGCAATACTTGATTCAGCAGCGACTAGCCAACACGACTTCTAGCTAAAAAAGAGTATTGTGTTTGAGATGCTAAGAAAGTACGCATATCGGTATGCACGTTTCTGCCACTAAGACTTCAACAGAAAAGATCAAGGGCTCACGCCTCGCTTTCACGATGCTCCATCCTCGAATGGACCCGATGCTTGTCAGTGCAAGCGCAATCCATTTTTTCTCTGCCTACCTGGGTATAACGTGATGATTCTCTTTACCCCTCCCCTCACTTTGCCCACCTTACCTTATGTCCTTCTAATGCAGTGCAACTGTTACTTAGGTATTACTGTTACCGCTGCTTCATGCATTGTACGCCAGGGTTGATGTGCTACAGCGTAGGAGCTCTCAGGTCTGTGGGCAACGATGAGCCTATCATTGTAAGCATGTGAATTAAGAAGAGGCCCAAGTCAAAACTGTTGCGAGTCTGAAGCTGCATCCTGTATCTCCATCGATCCCGAATATCAATGTCATGGGTGACCCCACGCTGCGAGTAGAGGCACGTGCTGATATGGATGTCAACTCGATACCACTTTTGAGGTGTGTAATAATAAACAATGATGATACTGCATGACTGTATTGTACAACGAATGGATGTATGTCGTATTGCGAAGATTCGAAACTCGTTCAGTCAGGTACTCTATGACTATGTGTATCTACTACCCTTGACGAAGCCAAGAACAATATATTTGACACGCTGAACATACCTACCTACCCAATTTCTAATGCTGCCACACGATATATCTAGCTTACTAAATTTCAGTATTCAAATGTTTCCCCTTTCATTGTTGATTCACAGTAACCTCCACTGCCGCCTTGATTGCTCTTCTAGCCTAAGCTATAAGGTATTCTTGTGACACGTACTATAAATTAATGGCTCTTTCTGTAATAATCACTTTTGCTCCATTCTATTTTGCAAATGATTGGAGATAATCACTGTTTGAACAACTTACTTTAACGGCAACTCCGTCTGACCTCCGTTCTTTATTTGCCAGAAATATAGGTTTTCCCACCTTCCCTCGTTAGAACCAAAATCACTCCAAACCCAGCCCCAAACCGATGGAATTAGCTGGTACCTTAGTACCTATATCTGTGGAAAAATACCTAAACTCTTTAAACATACGACGTTCGTTCAGAACGTTTGGCCGCAGCAGCCAATATTAGGTAGGAACTCAATGCTGGATCGCATCACCAATTAAGCGTCTACCCTGTACTGTTGATGTTCTCGGCAAACTCTTTCACGGTGCTCAGAGACGATTCTTGTTTACCAACTATGAGAGACGATAGTTCTGCCAGCCTCTCCGCATCAAGATCAATTTAAGTTCTTTCACAAGCCTTCTTGAAGCCATCGTTACAGAGACCTGGCGTAAGACGGACCCGGTCAAGCCTCTTTTCCGTTACAAGTCGGCCACGATCAACTAGCGATTATTCAACGTGTCTGGTCTCTGGACAAGGAGAAATTCGTACCAGTTTCTATTTTCCTTTCGTATCTCTTCTCATCAAAGTTTGTCTCGCATCGGTTGACCTAGAGAAGGAGAAGCCCTCAGTTCCACTCTCTTCCACGGTCCAGCGACTCACTATTGCAGGGTGCCACCGCCCGCTGCTCAAAGCGAAAGCTGTCTAGGCCTAAAGCCCACTACAAGCACTACATCACAGTACTGTACAGTACCTCTGACACGCCAGGTGCTAACCTTGGTACCTCTACCTACGCATACTCCATTCAAATCCAAGCAGGGCCAGGCAGATGGGGATCCAACTTTTACCTCCGCCTTCAGTCCCTGCTTGCTGTCGCTAGCTTGTTGAAGGCTTGTCCGCCGAGTGCCCAGTGCTTCCTGTACCTACACGCCCCCATCCATCCTCGCTCGCTCGTTCGCTGCACTCTGCACAGAAGTTAGGTACTGTACATCCATACGTACCTACCGTAGGTACAGTGCAGTCGGGTGCTTCAGCAAGTACGTACCTCCAAGTTCCGCCAGGCGGCCAGACACATAGATCCGCCGAGTCGTCCGCTGCCCCCTTCGAGCTAAACTTGGGACGTTTTGCGCGTGCGCGCCCACACCTCCATCATCTCGCAGTTTATATCACATCGCCAGCCCAGCTCTCTGGAGCATCTGGGCTCTCCCCGACCAAAAACCAAGCACCAGCACCTACTGGCGCAGGCCACGGCCACTTCTGTTCTTGATTTCCCCATCACATCATCACCAGATCTTAACTACCATTCACTTACTGTTCGACAATGATGCCTCTCAAGGCTCTTTGAAAGCCACCCGCCCGCCCGTCGCAGGTTCTCTCTTTCTCGACCCAGGGGTGAACATCCGTTCTATTCCGCTACCTCCGAGGACCTTGAAGCTTTCGTGTCCGCATCATCGCTATTCAAGACTTGCGACCATCCTTGTTCTTGTTGTCGTCCGACCAATTTATCCCGACATTACACTCAATTCCCGTCACTCGCTGCCCCGACTTACCACTAACATGTCGAGTTCTGCCTCTGGCGATTCAGGCGGTGGCCGTTCGATGGAGTCACGAGTGGGTAGAAGCAAGCAACGTGAGTCTTTTACATCATGCGCAGTACATGAAATTCTGCTTGGGCATATTCATTAGAGACCATACGTCTTTCTTTATGTTTGCAAGACATAATTGTCTTAGCGTCGTCTATCCCAACTATATTTGTTGTCTCGACATGGTGTGATGGCCACTATCATGACTTACCACAAATATTTGAGCTGCAGCTTATTTCTTTCTCTACCGCACTGTTTTATCAATTCACTTGTGGTATTTCTTACTGACATGTCATTCCTGTTATAGGCTACAACACCAAGGGTGAACGTCTCGTCGCTGGCATCGTCCCTCTTACCTCCGATCAGAATTATGTGCTATTGATTCAGTCTACTCGTCGCAAAGGCTGGGTCCTGCCCAAAGGTGGCTGGGAATCAGATGAGACCTGCCAGGAGGCCGCCGAACGAGAGGCCTGGGAAGAAGCTGGTATCACTGTTCAGATAAGCTATGACCTTGGGGACATTGATGAAAAGCGTGCACCAAAATCGACAAAAGACCGGTCAAGATACCACTTCTTTGAAGGCACAGTAACTGGAGAGTTTGACGACTGGCCCGAGTCCCACAAGCGAGAACGGCAGTGGTTCACCTTCACACAGGCGTGGGAAGCATTATCGACAAGACCAGAACTTCAAGAAGCCTTGCAGAGGTCTACTGTGAATCGCCTATAACCAGCGGGACTCCTCTCGCCAATCATCCGGACCTAGCAGCTATCCTGTCAATACTGGAGGGTTTCTGCTTGTCGAGGTCGACTATCGGTATTTAAGTGATTTCCCAACAAGTCATCACGGGCCTCTCTACCATTGCTCGATCATGAGAGGAATATCACCCGTTCGGCATGCGAAATAGGAGATTTGAGCTGCAACGGGCTATTCTCCAATCTCTTCTTTACAGTCCTCTACATAGAGACTTCGCGTTGTGCATCCATCCAAAGGCGTTTAGGCTGGATTATGATAGAGCATCTTTTTCTTCTCTCTTACACTACCAAACCAAGAAATGGGTCAGGAAGGGATATCTGAGCGGCGTACTTAGGTGTATGCAGTGGGATCAGAAGGTCATCATCTCATTGCAATACACGGTTGGGACCGGAAAAGCGTCACAAAATGGCTGCTATCGGAATCTTGCTTTTTTACTTTTTTACTCTGGCACAGCCCAGAACAAACATGACGGGGAGGCGATTATGCACGCAAGTTTCATCCGCTAGAAAGCAACGGAATCTTAGTAACTCGCCTGGTTATGGTGGAGTTGAATAGACTTGGGCGAATTCCCTCACCTAGACGCATCAAAACGACTTAAAGCCGGTGGTGCTTGTTGATGCATGTGAGAAGAGACACCAGATAATCAATCATGAGACATGTGGAAGAAAAAAAAAAAAAA